GTCATAAGCTCACAGGCATCTACCCCAGGGAATTCACTATTGCCTACAGAACACAGAGAGTAATCATCTGAATGCTCACGAGGCTAGGGAAGAAGGTACTTGAGCAAAGGATATCTGGAACCCTTGAAAAGATGTCTGGATGCTTTTGAAGGCTTCCCAGCCATTAACAACAACAATAATTAAGTAAACAAAATGTTGAATAACCAAACAAGATGATTTCCTTAATGAAGAAAGCGATACACTGAGGGGTAAGAGAAACATTAATGACAAAGAATCAGAATTGGAGCCAGGTGTGGTAGCACTTGTCTGTAATCCCAGCATCTGGAAAGCCAAGGCAGGAAGACCCTGAGTTTAAGGTCAGTCTGACTACATTACATGCCAAGAACAAACCGGAAAAGAAAGGAGGTCCCCCGCTTTCTCTCCCTCCCTTCCTCTTCCCTTCCTTCTTTCTCCTCTTCTCTGTTCTTGGTAGCAAACGTACTGAATGAGAACCAGTGAGTGACCCTCCCAAGGAGGAAGCCAGCAGGCCCTGGGACATGGAAATACACCTAAGGCTAGAGACTGTCAACAGGGAAACAGCAGGTGGTAGATCCTACGAGCAGTTTTATTTCATTAACTACTTTAAATTTTCCTTTCTGTACTTTGTTAGGCTAAATTCTTCATAGCATGCTAACCTTGGGAGCAAAGTCTTAGCTGCAACTGGGCAGACAAGGGGAGGAACAGTGTCCCTGACTGGAGGCATCAAAGCAGAAGGGGCCATGGTCTAGAACTGCCGTGAGTGGAGGCACCACAGGAAGCTAGTGCTTGTGATCCTCAACTACACAGAAAAAGAAATCTGGGGATTGGAGAGATGGCTCTGTGGTTAAGAGCACTGGCTGCTCTTGCAGAGGACCTGGGTTCAGTTCCCAGCAGCCACAGGGAAGCTAACAGCCACCATGGCGGCTAACAACTGTCCATAACTCCTGTTCCAGGGGCTACAATGCCCTCTTCTGACCCCCACGGGCACTGCATGGCACAGTGCCCTTACACACATGCAGGCAATACATGTGTACACATAAAATAAAAATAATAAAATTTAAAAAATAAAAATGAGCTCTGTCTTCCGCCTTCTGTGCCCCTCTTCATCATTCCATATTCCCACTTGCATTAAGGTCATACCAAGCTGCTTATATGTGCCTCCCAAACATGTACTCACTGTCTCAAAGGGGTTTTGTTGCTGTTTCTTTTTTACCTAGAATGCCCTTTAATGTCACTTCCCATCTGTAACTATATGTGTTGATTTCTGTTCTATACTATACTGTATATTCAAGGACGAGCCCCCCTCTGGCAAGTCTTGACCCAAATCAAATACCTGCTGCTTTATGCTGCCCCTGCACCCTGGGCATTCATTTCTGAGACGCTGATCAAAGGCAATCAGGGTGACAGGCATCCTAGTTTGTATCTGCATAAGTCTAATCACCTGTTAACTTGTCCGCATCATAAAATCATGAGCACCTGGACTGCACGGACTGCTTATATCATCACTAGGGTTTTAACATTTTATTCCTTCCATATGTTAGGATGACATTGATGCCTAGCTTTAGCATTCATTATAACTGAGTTGTTTAAATACTGCTATTTATTATTTTGTCTTTTTTTTCCCTCAGAGCTGAAGACTGAACCCAGGGCCTTGCACTTGCTAAGCAAGCACTCTACCACTGAGCTAATCTCAACCCCGGTACTGCTATTTAACACTGCGTTGTGCTCTCTTCAGTCTTACACTTTCAGTCTCATAATTCCCTTATTCTGTTCTGCCTTCATGTTTTCCATAGCACTAATGATCTTCTAAGATGCTGGCCAAATGTATTTCTTGTTTACAGTCTGCACCTCACCTACATCACCAGACAGGGCTCTGTCATGCATGTATTGAAAATACCAATGAAAGTGCCTGGCACCTAATAGATGCTCAATAAGTATATCAAATGAATCAATCTGCCAAAATTAGGGATAATTCCTCTTTTGGAGCTAACTCATTACCTTCCATTTTGGTTTTTGAGATTGGCCTCAAACTCTTGACTCTCCGGCCTCAACCTCCTCAGTGCTAGGAGGACAGGTGTGTGCCACCATGCCTAGGTCCAATTCTTTATTCACAAAATGAAAATGTATGGATGTCAAGAGGTCATTACTACCTTCCTTGAGGACATATATACTCTTTGTGACAACCAATTATGGCTCTTTTGACAACTCTAATCAAAATGTAGACAGCAAGACAGCAATTTCTACCAAGAAATTTATAGAGGAGATGGAGAGATGACTCAGCAGTTAGCACTGGCTGCTCTTGCAGAGGTCCGAAGTTCAGTTCCCAGGACCCACATAGTGGCTAACCATCCATAACTCTAGTTCTCTCTGATGCCCTCTTCTGGCCCCCAAGAGCATTACATGACAAGGGTACATTTATATACATGCAGGCAAAAGACTCATATACATAAAATGTTTTTAAAGAAAATTTTAAAAATCGCTGCTGGATGAAGGAAAGTTGATCTTTAAGGGAGTGATGCTAGATAGGCTGACCAGATTCCAGCAGATGAACTCACACCAAGGGACATCTGGGGACACAAACTTGACTTGATAGGCCTTAACATATATGACAGAATGCATGAAATCTGGTGGGGGCAGCTATGGGGGGTGCAGATAGGGGAGGGGGTCTAAATTTTGGTTAAAATATATTGTATATATTTTATATGTATGTATATGGTATATATTGTATATGGTAAAATATATTGCATGCCTTCAATTCCAGCACTTGGGAGGCAGAGGCAGGCTTAGCTCATAAGATTGAGGTCAGCCTTGTCTACATAGCAAGTTCCAGGCCAGCTGGGGCTACAGGGTGACCCTGTCTCAAAAAGAGATAAAACACACACAAAAAAACAAAAAGAAACAAAAAAAGTATTGTGTGAAATGCACAAAAATTCAAGAAAACATATATAGTAAAATTTTTTAATATTTTATGTATATGAGTGCATTGCCTGCATGTATATAAGGGCACTCATGTCGTGCAATGCCCAAGGAGGTCAGAAGAGGGCGTCAGGTCCCCTGGAACTGGAGTTATGGACAGTTGCTAGCCACAATGTGGGTGCTGGGAACTGAACTTTGGACTGCTGCAAGAGCAGCCAGTGCTCTTAACTGATGAGCCATCTCTCCAGTCCTGTTAAAAAAAAAAAAAAAAAAAAGGGTTTTGAAGAAATTTGCAGAAATTATTCTCATTCCTTGTTGTATTATGTATGTAGTATATAGGAAAGGCGTATGCAGATCTGGGTGACATTTGCCAAAGAGTCATATGATCAGTCTTTTGTTTCCCATAAAAAGGAAAAAGTGTTCAATTCTGTCTTCAGGGGTTCTGTAGTCTCCCCAGAGTGTTAAGAAACAGTAGTATGTTCTTAAATTTGTATGGCATGCTGCAGTAGACAACACACAGGAGGACTCCCAATGGTCCTTGCTCTAAGAAACATTAAATATTAGACTTTTCTTTCAAACCCTGTAAAACTTTTGGGTTATGACAAGGAATTCTAAGCTTTTAATCCCCTACACACACTCCCAAATTTCAGACCTGCAGAAATCGGCAGTAAATGATTGTTCTTGTAAGGTGATAGTAAGGAAAGAGACAAGGAAACAAGAGACTCAACTGCGTACAGATTTTTCTTCCTGAGTAAAACCTGCAGAGGCTCTCGGTTACAGGCCTTAGGGTACTTATAGGGCAGAAAATGGGGTAGGAAGAATGAAAAGTTCCCTTTTTTGGCCTCCAGTTGGCCACTTCTAGGTATAACCAAGGAGCAATGAATTTAAGACTGTCAGGTGATAGCTAACTGTCTCTCCAGGATGGCCAATGCTGGGAGTACCCCTGCCAGGAGCAGACAGAGTAGGAAAAGCAAGGACTTAGGGAAACAAGTTTGTTTAGTTCTGGAAACCAAATTACTGTAGTTTTGGAACTGTCAAGTTCAATTAAAATGGTGTTTTACATTATGTGTTTTGGATTTGTAATAGATAACAAATATACAAATCTCTTCCCCTTTCTTCAAGTGCTGGGCATCAACCCAAGGCCTCTCACTGGTAGACAAATGCTCTACCACTGAGCTCCACCCCTGGGTCATGCAAATCCCTTTTAAAAGATTTTTTTTTTTTTTTTCTACCGTGCATTCAAAATATATAATTGATAAAACAACATATGCCTGTCGCTTTTTTAAAACTATATTTTATCATGCAAATCCCTTTTAAAAGATTTTTTTTTTTTTCTGACACCATGAGTTAAGTATATACAATTGTATAAGCAACTTAGGCATGTAGCTTTTTAAAACAAATATTTTATTATTTTTATTTTATGTGTATGAGTGTATTGTCTGCATGTACGTAAGTGCACCCGTGTAGTGCAATGCCCCCGGAGGTCAGAAGAGGGTGTTGGATCCCCTGGAACTGGAGTTATGGCCAGTTGTTAGCTGCCTTGTGGGTGCTGGGATTCAAACCCAGGTCCTCTACAAGAGCAGCCAGTGCTCTTAACCACTGAGCCATCTCTCCAGCCCCTGGCATGTAGCTTTTATACATCCATTAGCCAAAAGAGACTTTCTAATTTAAAAACCTACACACCACAAAACCACCCTACAAAACCACCAAGCATTTTCTTCACAGAGTTGACCAGAAGATGGCAACTTCGGGAGGGAGGTGCAGACTCCGGAAGCGCAGTGCTCACCTCACCCGCTAGGGGGAGCACACGCGCGAGGACGAATGCGCATGCTCCGTGTGCCTCGCGCTTCGCCTCGCGTCGCCGCTTGACCGAGCGTGCTTGGATCCATGGGAGATGTAGTTTCTGGTGTCTGGAATCCTAGGTGCGCCTCCTGCCTGGGTTCAGCGTCGGACTTCAATTCCCAGCAAGCCGGCTGGCGGGCGCGGGCGGGTACGGGAACTGAAGGGCGGAGCGAGAGCCAGGTGGGCGGAGCCGGTAGGACGGCCGCGGTGTGAGGGCGGGGCTTCGGCCGCCTCCCTTGGTCGGCTGGACCTGAGGCGTGGGCTAGAGCTGCGCGGGTGGAGGGGACGGTTCCCGGCGCCGGCGCGGCAGAGTGGTCGCGGGAGCGTCGGCGCCGACCGTGGGGCTGGGTGCTCGCGAATCCGCTCGCCCTCAGCCGGGACGCGGGGAAGCGGGGCGGGGGTGCGGGGTGGTGCGGGTTGGGGCGGCCAATGCGAAGCTGGCTGGTGCTGCTGTGCCCGTGCGTGCTCGGGGCCGCGCTGCACCTCTGGCCACGGGGCTGGCGCTCGTGTGGCCGAACAAATGGGCACAGCTGTGAGTCGACTTGGCCGTCGGGCTCGGCTCGCTTATGATGGACATGGGGGTCCCCGGCTCGCTAATGATGGACATGGGGGTCTCCGGTTCGCTAATGAAGGAGGGTGGGTGCCGGATTCTTCCGCAACTCGCGTGCATTTGTTCTTAACTTCTTCGCTGGTGGAAATCTGTGTTCTCGTTCGCGTCACAGCCAGGCACTGCTTTTGCTCTCTTTGAGTACCACCCAGTGTACCCTGAACACTACCCGAGGGTCCGCTGTGTTTCTTTTTCAAGGTTTCCCCGAGAGCTTATAGAGCGACCTAGAGAGCTATTTTAAAGATAGGGCCATGATCGTTGAACTTTTTAACTGCTTAGTTATTTTTTAAACTACTTTTTTTTTTTTTTTTTAACGCGTCACCAAACAGCTGTTTGCTTTTCCGAAAGTTTAAAAAACTCTTTACGGATCGGTATATGGCTCTTGAGTGTTACAAAGTATTTAGCAGTCTTCAAAACCGTCTCACTGTTAGGAGAGTTGGAGTTATTTTACTAATGAGCTCTTCTATTAAACCACCAGCTTTTTGAAAGGTTATTTGTGTGACCTGAAGGTAATGAACTGTGGATTTAAGTGATACAATGAAAGTACACCATTACAGTGCTTTTTAACCTGCTTAAATAGGTTGAGGTTTTTACAAACTCGATGAGAAAACATATGTATTACATATAAAATGCTGTAACCTAACTAACACCTGTTGGGTTTGTGTTTTATAGAGGTTTTGTTGTTGTTGTTTAATTGAGTGAGGTAAGGGAATCTACTTGCAGAGCCAACATAGATTATTTATGACCCTAACATTAACAAGTTTGACGTTCAACACAGCAAACCGTGCCTTTGAGCTATCTCAGTAAGCCTGCAAGAGGTTTTTGTAGTTTGAAGCAGATTCCTCCTGTCCTTTTAGAGTTTGGATGATGCTTTTATCTCTTAGATTAAGGAAACGAGTAAACTAAACATGATCAATACTAGTTATAAAAGTTAGTTTTGAGGGCCTGGGGTGATGGCTCAGCAGTTCAAGAGCACTGGCCGCTCTTGCAGAGGACCTGGGTTCCTGTCCCAGCATCCACAGGGTGGCTAACAATCTAATGCCTTCTGACTTCTGGGCACATTGTACAACATGGCTGTACTTACATGTAGGCAATATACTTAAAACACATAAAAATAATAAAATATTGTTTTTTTAATTTTGAGTCGATACTAGAATCTGGTTAATCAGTAGGATATTTTAATCTAAAGCCAGACAGATTCCTAGTCCAGTGTGCTCACTTGGCACTTTCAAAAACAAAAACAGAAGTATTCTGATTGTAAAAACTTCCCACAAGTCCTTTTCCTATTTTGCTGTCACAATATTTAAAACATTTGGGCATTTTACATTTTGAACTCATACATTAGGCCTAAAACCTGAGATTTTGCTAAGTATTTTTCTCTTGAATTAACATTTTAAGATTTACTTTTGTTGTGTCATCTGCTTCTCTGTCCATCTCCAGTCCCATTAAGTCAGGGATTTTTTTATTTTTTAACGTTTATTTATCTGTGTATGCGAGCACACACAGAATCCAGCAGAGAACAACTTCAGAAGACAACTTGGAGAGTCGAGTCTTTCCTTCCATCTTGTGGGTTCTGGAGAGCAACCTCAAATCATCAGGGTGATGGCAAGTGTCTTTCTTTACCCAGTGAACCATCTCAGTAGCCCTGTTTTTTTTTAAAGGGAGATTTACTATCACTGAATATTAGAAAGGCCCTCCTGGCTGACAATTGGTTCAGCAAACGTTGGGCTCCTGTTGTAGGTATGGAATTAGCACAGTAATGAAGATAAAGTGCCTGCTGTCCTGGTGGTAACCATTTAGAAGGGAAAACAGCATAAGCATATAAATGTAAATGTCATGGGGATGGTGAGTATAATGAAGGAAAACTGAAGCGGTGTATAAAAGGTAGAGAATGATGGGCTGCTCTTTTAAACACAGAGGTCAGAGAAGACCTCTGTGAAGCAAGGGCCTGAGGGAAGTGAGTCAGTACCAAGATTAGCAACTTTTCTAACGTGGTGGCTCACTTTAAACGATTTTAACCTGTCAGGGAAAACTACTGGTGAAGAAGCAGCAGTGCTCCTGTGAAACACAGCATGCCTGGGGCACAGAGAGGCAGGAAAATGGACCAGGAATGTAGAGGATGACTGGGTCACAACACTAGTTTGGGGTAATGCCTTAGCAGAAATTATGCCATGTTAATATAAAAGATGAAGTGATTGGGGGCTGGAGAGATGGCTCAGCAGTTAAGAGCACTGACTGCTCTTGCAGATGACCTGGGTTCAATTCCCAGCACCCACATGGCAGCTGTAAACCGTCCTTAACTCCAGTTCCAGGGGACTCTGAAACCCTCTTCTGACCTCCATGGCATCGCATGACACGGGTGCAGTCTCATATATGCAGTCAATGCACTCATACACATAAAAATAACAAAATATTTTAAAGATGAGGTGATTGAGGAATGGCTTCTCTGAGTAAGATATTTGGAAAGAAGGGAGCCAGAACTGGAAAGGGAAGGCGCTTATCACTAGGTGTTGGGCTGGATGCCAGGTCCACCGTGTCTGCACAGGGCAAGCAGACCAAAGACAAATAGAGCTTGATGTCCAGTTTCTTCCAGGGCTGGTTCTTTGAAAGTGATCCGTCTGTGCTGTATGACAGTTGTATCTCCAGGCTTAACTTTCCACATTTGTAAAATGGTGATCTCCTAGGGTTACTGTAAAGGTTCACATAAGGAAACACCAATCGTAGTGCCTGGTTCATGATAAATGCTCCAGGAATTTTGGAGAGGAGGGGCAGTAAGAAGGTGCTGAAGCCTGTGCCAGTGTGACATTTAGGAGGGTTCTTTGAAGTTGACGAGAGCACACTATAGTACGGTCACACTGTGCGTTGATGACTATCTCAGCAGATCTGTGCTGGGCTCTTATGTTTTCCTCCTTTTCAAGATTTTCTGCCTGTTCATGAGTGATGTCATCCAAGGGCACACATATGAAGATTTTTCTTCTTGACTCCTTGGACTTATTTTGAGCAATCAGTTCTGAGGTCAACTCCCTTAGACTTTAATGTCCACACAGTGCAAAGCTCAGCAGGTTGGCACACTCAGAAGTATTGAGTATTAAAAGAAACAGTCACTGCTCTTTGGGCGCTTGCTTGGGATTGTGAGCTATTCTTGACATTATGGAGATCTTGTTCATTGCTGGGCTTGTGCCATCTAGCACAGTGGGTATGAATGCTCATCAGTGCCTAGAGAGATGGCTCAGCAGTTAAGAGCATGTACTGCTCTTGCAGAGGACTCAAGCTCAGTTCCCAGCACCCCACATGGCAGCTAACAGCCATCTGTAACTCCAGTTCTGAGGTATCTGACACAGTCTGCATGCATTACACACATGTGGTGCACTTACATACAGGCAAAGCACAAATACCCATAAAATAAAAATAAGTCAAAATAATTTTTTAGAAAAGAAATGCTTAGCAATTTGAATCAATGAATCAGGAGAATAAAACTGAGAAGATTCAAATGATTTTTCCACCTACAGGTCTGCTTACATGCCATAATGACCTTATGATTTAAATATTTTTCTTTTCTTTTTTTTTTTAAATATGTATGAGTGTGTTGTCTGCATGTAGGTAAGTACACCCGTGTCATGCAATACCCGAGGAGGACAGAAGAGGCCATCGGAGCCCCTGGGACTGGAGTTACGGACAGTTATTAGCTGCCATGTGGGTGCTGGGATTCAAACCCAGGTCTTCTGAAAGAACAACCAGTGTTCTTAACCACTGAACCGTCTCTCCAGCCCCAATATTTTTTTTTAAAAAGGGAAGCAGGGCTGGAGAGTGGGCTCAGCAGTTAAGAGCACTGACTGCTCTTGCAGAGGACCTGAGTTTGATTCCTCGTACCCACATGGCAGCTAACAACCGTCCATAACTCCAGTTCCAGGGGATCCTATGTCCTCTTCTGACCTCTGGGGGCATTTCATAACATGGTGCACTTATATGTAGGCAGTAGACTCATACACAAAATAAAGATAAATTCTGTGAAGAAAAAGTTTTATTTATTTATTTATTTATTTATTTATTTATTTATTTATTTTGGTCGTTTTGAAACAGGGTCTCCCTGTAGCCCCAAGCTGTCCTGGAACTCACTATGTAGACCAGGCTGGCCTTGAACTCACAGAAATCCGCCTGCCTCTGCCTCCTGAGTGCTGGGATTAAAGGTGTGCACCACCACGCCTGGCCTGAAATTATTTTTAAAAGAAAGAAAAGGGGCTGGAGTAATGGCTTAGCAGTTAAGAGCACTGAGTGTTCTTCCAAAGGGCCCAGTTTCCATTCCCAGCACCCGCATGGTGGCTAACAACTTCAGTAACTCCAGTTCCAGGGGAATCTAACGCCCTCTTCTGACCTGCGGGCATTGCACAACATGGGTGCACTTACATGCAGGCAGTATACTCATAACACAAAACTCAGCAGTTAAGAACACAGTTCTTGCAGAAGACCCGGGTTCGAATCCCAGCACCCACATGGCAGCTAACAACTGTCCATAACACCAGTTCCAGGGGATCCGGCAGCCCCTTCTGTCCTCTGCGGGCATTGCACGACACGGGTGCACTTACCTACATGCAGGCAATACACACATAACATAAAATAAAAACAATAAATAAAACATTTTAGAAAAAAGAAAAAATGGTATATACTTCTGGATTACATATAATACATGGTTGGAAAAAAATGAACATTTTAAAAATGTTTTTGATGTATCATACACATTTCTTTTCAGATATATAACTGCAGCTTGATATATTTTCACAAGCTGAACATTCAACTAATAAGCAATTAAATTTTAAAAAGGAAAATTGTGCAGCTGGGGAGCTAGCTCAGTTGGTAAAATATTGGTCTTGCAACAAGCACAGGGACCTGAGTTCGACCGCAGGTACTTAACACAAAAAAAAGCCAGGCATGGTGGTGCACATTTGTAATCCAGCACTGAAGAGATGGGTAGGTCCCTGTTGCTCACTGGCCAGCCAGCCTCGCCCAAACAATGAGTTCCAGGTAAAAGTGAAACAGCCTACCTGGGGTGGGGGGGGGCAGATACAGAATCTGAGGAATGAAATGTTGGTCTCTGACCTCCACAAACCCTCATACACACACATGCATGTGCATTCACAACATGTATGCACTTACACATACAAAAAGATCGTACCTCCAAAGCACCCTTATCGGCTCCCCTGTCTCTGCCAAATGGCTAACCATAGTCACAGTGTCCAAGAGAGAATTTTGACTGTTTCTGTACTTTTTATAAATGGAGCCATGTAGCATGTCACAGTCTGCTTATCTGAATTTGTTGTAGAATGATACTTAATTGTGCATCAGCATAGTATTCTGTCATAGATGCACCATATATCACATAACCAGTCCCTTATTTGTATGTTTTTGTGTCTTTCAGATTTTCAATATTATAAGTGGTACTGTGATGAACAGAGATCCTTGAGTGTATCAGCGATAAGTTTAAATTATTAGAAAATGGAAGTTACTTCTGGAAAGTACTGTATATATTCCCAGTATGCCTAGAGAAGACTGCCAGATGACACTCCTACCAGTAATGAAGGAGACCAGCCATTTTCTTGAGATGACAGTCAGCCTTCCCTTGTAGTACCTGTCATTCAGTACTGCCATTTCAGAAGGCATTTGTCAGTTTAAGTGTAGAAGAGCCCTAATGTCTTGCAGTTCTAATTTAAACTTGATTCCTCATGAAGCTAAAGCTCTCTTTACAGAGGTTGTTGATGATTCGCCTTCTTTCATGACTGTCTTTTTTTTTTTTGGTCTTTTTGAAACAGGGTCTCCCTGTAGCCCCAGCTGTCCTGGAACTCACTATGTAGACCAGGCTGGTCTTGAACTCAAAGAGATCCACCTGCCTCTGCTGCTGCCTCTGCCTCCCAAGTGCTGGGATTAAAGGCATGTACCACCATGTCCGGCTTCATGACTGTCCTTTTATGTTTACCTCATAGCTTTCTTTTTTTCCTTCCTGTGTCTAGATATGGAATCAAACTGTAACCTGTACTTGTGTTGTGACAGGGTGATGAGAGTGTGGAACAAAATTTTCTAATTTACTAAAGAGAACTAGGTGCTTGAGTGAACACTCACACAGTTATTCTTACATGACAGCATGTGATGGAACAAACCTGTTTTCATAGCTTAATTGTAGTAAACCTGGGAGTAGGGGTGTCTGGATGGACAGGACACACCCTGGATCCTTGCAGGGAAAGAGAAATGTGTGTAAGCAAAGCAGTTGGGCAGAAGCAGCTTAGATGGGGATTAGAAGCAGGAGAATTGACATGACAGGGAGGTGTGGGATGAGATCAAAAAATAGTGTGGGGCTGGAGAGATGGCTCAGGGATTAAGAGCACTGACTTCTCTTGCAGAGGACCCGGGCTCGATTCCCAGCACCCACATGGTGGCTATGAACCGTCCTTAACTCCAGTTCCAGGGGAATCCAAAGCCCTCTTCTGAGTTCTTCGGCATTGCGGGACACGGGGGTGCGCTCACATTCTGGCAATACACATAAAATAAAAATGATAAAATATTTTTTAAAAAAATTGATTACAGCCATAGCCCTTGGAGTTTCATGTGCCACATAATTGTCTTTGTGCGCATTTGATTACCTTCTTTTTTTTTTGGAACTCCCAATGTAGACCAGGCTGGCCTTGAACTCACAGAGATCCACCTGCCTCTGCCTGCTGGGATTAAAGTTGTGCACCATCATACCCAGCTGCATTTGGTTACTTTTTAAGAACTTTGTTTGGTAGTAGTGGAGACAATCCAGGTGAAACCAGTCCCAGTGAAGGCAGACAGTCTAAGCAGTAGCTAGAAGTAACACCCAGGAAAGGGTAAGCTTGACATTTTTTTTCATGAAGATTTTGAGTCATGATTAGACACTAGAAATCCTATGGCACTCAAAGGGACATTTAAATTAGTTTTGAAATTTTTTTTTTGTGTGTAGAAACCTTGTTTTCTGATGTCAGGTTAATGAGGCACAGATTAAATGTGATTTTTGCCCTTTTACAGCCTTTTACTCCTTAAAAAGATATTTTGAAACAGATACAAACATTTAAAGACTCATAGCCAGGTGTGATGGTGCATGCCTAGTGTCCTAGCATTTCAGAGATGGAGGCAGGAAGATAAGAGTTTGTAGTCTGGGCATCCCAGGCAACATGTGACTCAAAAATAAAATGAACAAACAAAAAGAAAATAAAAAAATTTTTAAGGCTTATTGTTAATAATGTGTCTGTGTATGTATGTGCCATGAGTGCAGGTACCTGTAGAGGCCAGAAGAGGACATCCAGATCTGGAGCTGGAGTTGCAGGCAGTTGTGGACCACCCAATGTGGGTGCTGGGAACTGACCTTGGGTCCTCTATAAGAACAGCAACTGCTGAACAGCTCTCCAATCAGAAAGAACTTCTTGTGTCTGTTTTATCTGATTAAGAAACTGAGACACAAGGGATTTAAATAGCTTCTTGCTGAGGTAATGCAGCGTATTAGCTGTGGTTGCCTCCCTCCTGTCACTATGATATGCTTACTAAATCCATTGGCAGTTTTGTACAAGCAAACGTTCCAGATTTAGACTCATTTAGAGGTAGTTCCAGTAATAGCTTTCATTGTATTGTAGCTATCTGGGAAACAGTGTTTCTGGGCTGTGATTTTTTTATTTAATTAATATACTATTTAGTGATCTGTTTATCACTAATTCCACACTTGAAGTGGTGTTATGAATAGAAAGATCAGAATGTAAACTCTGCTGAACTACATTAAGCCCAATAAATTGGAGTTAGGCAAGTGTGGTGGTGCACACCTTTAATCCCAGCAGGCAGAGGCAGGCAGATCTCTGTGAGATCAAGCAAGGCCAGCCTGGTCTATAGTGAGTTCCAGTCCAGCTGTGGCTACAGGGAGACCCTGTCTCAAGAAACCAAAAAGAAAAAAAAAAAAAAAGAAGAAGTTAAATAACTTCTACCCAGGAGGTATAGTTGTCTACCCTGTTACCCAGCAGGCTGTGAAAACAATAGGAACCTCACCATGGAGTTGAAGGCCAGTGTCGAAACCCAACAGAAAATCTCTGTAGTCAGTGTGGGCCAGGGTTCCAACTGTGGCCTAATTTACTTTCTTGCCGCCATTCTGTTTATGCACTATTTCACAACTGATTCTTATTACAGCCATCGTTGTTTTGAAACTCTTCAGTGCAGACATGAATATATACATACATGTGAGATACAGAACTACATGCTAATATGTTAATAATGTGTATTTCTGGATGGTGGGTTTATGAGTAATTTTAAAAAACTTTCTTTGTATATTTTCTGCAAATGTAAGCATGTTTTATTTGTAGTAAACTTTTTAATGGTATCTACTCAGTTTACAGTAGGTGAAACATGACTCACTTGTCATTTGTTACTTATAGATCAGTCAGCAATATCTCCTCTGTGGAAATCTGGTCACTATGATGTGGTAGTTGGTGTGTTGTCAGCTCGCAATAACCATGAACTTCGAAGTGTGATAAGGAAGACCTGGCTGAAGCATTTGCTGCAACACCCTACACTAAGTAAACGGTATGTGCTCGTATCTCAACAGTCAGAAATAGAATTCAGAAGCGGCTTCTTCTGGGAGGAAATGGCCGTTTCTTTCTGATGTTCTTGCATAGGTTTGGGTCCCAGAAGTAAACTTGACTGAGATTTTAAGCCAAAAGATAGTGGAAAGAGAGTAATTTATAGTTGGATTTAGAGTACTTTTCATTGACTTCACAGAGATAAACTTCACTTTTTTTGTCTTGGAGTACTTTCATGGTGTGGTCTGCAGTGTCTCTCCTGAGCACCCTCCTAGAACTGGGCTTCATACTGCCTTGTACTGTTAGGAGGTGGCTCCCCTGGTGGTCAGGAGTCCAGGGCCTGTATTCTCAACCATCCTTTGAAGACTGCAGTGAGGGGCTGAGGAGAGAGGTGCCACAGGGCTGAGCTTCCCAGCATGGAGGACACTGGGGTATAGCAGAGAAGGCCCTGTTGGCGTTGTGTTAAACAGTCACTTTCCTGACCGAGTGGCTTTTGAGGTGAATTGGAGTTGTGAATTTTCCTGTCACCAGCAGTAAGCGTTTACAGATTTCCTGTCTTACTCAGAGCTTCCTCTATTCCTCTTCCAGGTGGGTTTCTTTAGTGCACAATTGCAGTAATAGTAGACCCTGCTGCCCAGCACGGGAAAGGCCTCAACTACCTCCAGTAGTCTTTCCTATCACGCTCAGTAAGAACTCCTTTCCACTGGCTCCTCAGACCAGAAATTGTGCTGCCATCTGGGCTCCCTTTTCACATGCTGCACCAGCCATCCATGTCTTCTTTCTGCTGCTTTGGGTCATGCCCAGAACCAGACTTCTCAGACCTTCCCACTGCCGTCCTTGCCTACTCCACGGTAGCAGGAATTCTTTGCTTGCTTCTCTCTGACTTTCTACATTTCATTCTCCATACAGCAGCCAGGCTAGAATGATCCTTTTAAGATTAGTCAGCTTATATCAATCCTGTATTTGTACCCCTCCATTGATACATTGTGTGTGTGTGTGTGTGTGTGTTGCACTTGCACATGTGTGAGTGTGTGTCAGACTGTGTCTGGTGTCTTTTCTTACTTAGAATAAAATCCTGCTGGGTATGAACCTCAGCTATATAGTGAGTTTGAGGCCATCCTGGGCTACATGGCACCCTTGTCTCAAAATAAATAAATACAATAAGTAAAAATCTACATTTACTTCCCCTACGCAGGCCCCTTTACTGTGTTTTCCCCACCCCAGGATTGATTGTGTGTGTATGTGTGTGTGTGTGTGTGTGTGTGAGAGAGAGAGAGAAAGAGAGAGAGAGAGAGAGAGACAGGGTCTCACCATGGAACTCTGGAACTTGCTATGTAGACCAGGCTGGCCTCACACTCACAGAGATCTGCCTGCCTGTGTTTCCCAAGTGCTGGGATTAAAAGCGTATGCCACCAATCCCAGCAGGATTTTTTAAAAAAATTAACTTTTAAAATCAGTACACAGAGTAATGGTTTTCATTGTAACATTCTCATACATGTAGAGAATACCCTTATCTATACCCTCACCATACCCTCCTCTCATCCTCTTTCCTTTGAGTTTCTTCCTCCCCCAAGAGTCTGCCCTTCTACTTTCATGTCCTCTGTGTGTGTGTGTGTGTGTGTGTGTGTGTGTGTGTGTGTTTAAATCTGGGCTCAGTACATAAGAGAAAACACACAATGTCTTCTTTCGCCTCCCCTCTATACCCTCTTGTTTGCCCCAGTGCAGTACACATGTTCCTGCCTCAGCCTTTGCTCTTGCTGCTTCTCTTGCCTAGACCACTGTTCCACTAAGTGTCCTCAGGGCAGCCTTCCTCGGGTCTCTGGAAAATGTTACTCAAGCAGACAGCCTCAAATTAAACAGCACTTCCCTCCCAGTCCACTGTCTTCCCTTCCTTGGTGTTATCACACATGTCCCCACCTGGCATATGTATTATACGTAGTAGAAAATTTATACATTGTCTTTCCCTACCAGGATATAGACGTTTCTGTTTTTCTATATACTCCCAGTACCTACAGTCTAGGTTGGCCCAGAGTAAGTGCTCAACAGCTGTTGAATAAAGAATGCCTCAGAAATAGAAATAATGAATAAAATGTACATTCAGACATTCGCTAGTGATTCATATGTGTTTGTCATGGTTATTTACATGTAGTAAGCTTGTGGTTTGTTCTATGAAAATAATACATTTTTTCTATAAAAATAGATTGGAAGATGGGCGCAATTCTGTGAGTTTGAGGCCAGCCTCGTCTACATAGCGAGTTCCAGGTCAGCTGGGGCTACAGGGAGACCCTGCCTCAAAAAGACCAAAAAAAATATAGGTTGGAGCCCAAAACAACTTTCTGGGGCACAGTAATTATGTGAATTTAGTAATATTATTTAAGATAGTTTGAAAATTATAAATATATATAGTTAGCGTATTCATTCATATCTATTTATCCAAATGCTAGTTGGCTGGGTGGGTCTTCTGCCTTTCTTGGCCCTTAGGAAAAAAAATGTGCATTTCTGTGGTTATGGCTTCTTTGGTATCTTACATTTCAGTTAAGGAGCCATATAAAACATATTTATATTTTAAGAACTTAATTTCTAAGCTTTTGTAATAAGGCTATAATTTGTCAGTTTAGCACATTTATTGTCTATTGTTCTAAGCAGGTAGTATACTGCATGTGGTAGAGCACAAAGATACGGTACAGCCTGAGGGTTGAGGGAGGCTTGAAGTTTATCAGAAAGAAATAGATTTAATAGTGCAGTATGTGCTGCAATATAAACATACGCAGAATATCCTAGAGTGTTTGGAAACTCCAAACAGCCATGTGTAAGCTGGGGGTTGTTGAAGGTGTTACAGCAGAGTGAAGCCCAGGAAGGAAGGAGAAAGTGACCTGCTTAGTTCATCGCAAGCCATTGTTTAGAGGGTTAAGTGGAAGGGCCGACTTCTTCAGACAAGAACTGCTGAGGGGCATGACCTGCTTAGTAGTGACTTTATCAGAGCATGTAGGAAGAAAAGGTGTCTTAGCGACTGCTAGCTGCCTGATTGGAGAATAGTGGAATCCTCCATCAAGGTGCTAAGTACCAGATGAGAAGAGGTTTCACGGGAAAGAAACTCAAGTAAAGGTGTGTGTCAATTTCAGGCACCTACAGGCAGTGTGTACTAGGAATGTCTTGGATGGCTTTCTGGAAAAACTGTGTTCATAGGTACATAGATGTATCATAATTTTATTAATACGAGGATTATATCAACATAATTGACAAGTAGTCGCATGTATAGCACACTGTTAAGTCAGTAAAATCCGTGTAGCCAATTGGTTCTCATAGAATACTTTTGTTGGTTGCCAGGCTTTTGGCTCTGTAACCAACTTATGGCTGGATTCAACAAAGGCATAGAGTTCTGAAGTAAATATTTAAGTTAAAGAGTTAAGACTAGGAGCTGGAGAGATGGCTCAGCAGTTAAGAGCAGTGACTGCTTTTGCAGAGGACCTGGGTTCACTTCCCATCACCCACATGGCAGCTAACAACTGTTCTTAACTCCAGTTCCAGGGGCTCTGACGCCCTCTTCTCATCCCTTCAGGAATTGCATGACACCGGTGCACTTAACACACATGCAGACAATACAGTCCTCGTACACAACAATGAAAATAATTTTTTAAAAAAGAGTTAAGACTAAAGTGACAACTAAGATAGGTCAGAACTTTACTCTTAGTAGAGTCAGTGACGTCTTTGCTAAAACAGGTAATAGTTTTTGGACACTGGGAAAATATTCGGTTTGGGGGTGGTTACTAGTCACAGCATAATGATATGTCATGCTTTAATCTGCATAATTAACATTTCTTCCATACTCTGAGTCTAGACAAAACAAGAAGTCAAGTCCTTCTCTGTATTTTTTGTCAATTTCTGTGATCTAATATTCCTACGAAGCAACTACTGTGACATCACTGAATGCAAAATTGGGCAAAGATGCACACACACCATCTGTAATGTTCCACCGTATATGTAAATGGTCTTAATATTGAAATAGGAGCTTAAGTATTGCTTTGTTTTTAGTACATTTAGTTGTTTTATCATTTTAAAAGGCTATCACTTACAAAATTCCTGAAACTTTTTGACAATTGGCTCACAAGGCAGCCCTTCAGGACATAGTTCCCTGCGGGTGATCTATGTGATGATGCCCAGTGAACTTAAGGATTACTTAGGAACTTACTTAGAGGTTGAGTCTAAACTAGAGGTGCTAGTTGGGAATCATTCTTGGGTCAGCTGAAGCCCTGGCAGTGAATAATGTTACCTGGAGAGATGAAGTGAAAAGAGTGAGCAGACCAGTAAGAAAATGCAGGTGCCAGGCCCTGGTTTATCCTGTGGAGGGAAGAAGCCACAGGTCATGGTAACCAATAAAGCAAGGTCTGGAATTGTCAGGGACCTCCTCTCTCAGAAAAACTAATTGAGCAAAAGAAAAAGAAGTTCAAACACAGTCTCTGAGTTGATGTTACTGTGATCTGTTGTTCGATGGCCTGAGCATTTATTAGAAACCAGGCCAAGTGTTTGTGCGTATTTTGATGCAGCACCCGCAGGAGAGGGCTCACAGAAAGCCACCTCAGTAGTTAGCAACCCTTGGGTTGTATGTCCCCTTTCAGTAGACTAGAAGAATAGTCAGAGATTAACCCTCGTGAATCCTAGTATCCCAGAGGTCTGAAATGGGCATGAGGAAGTGTGCATGTGAGGTGAAGATCAGTAACTGATGTTAACACCAACGCATCTCTTCAGTGTGCTTGTGAAGTTCATAATAGGTGCTCATGGCTGTGAAGTGCCTGTGGAAGACAGGGAGGATCCTTACTCCTGCAGACTGCTCAACATCACCAATCCAGGTGCGTTGCCTTTTTCCTAAGACTGCCAGCTACAAGTTTGATATCAAGTACAAGTTGCTAAACTTGATAGTATAAATATGTTTTTAACCAACTAAATTTTTGTCATCAAAAGTTGTGTTTCAGCCTTTTTGATAAATTGATTCATTCCTCAGGGAATCTGAGATTCTTTACCGATAGAGAATTTCAGCACCAAGGAGAATATTCCTCAGTGTGATCTGAGACATCTGGAAAATTACATGTCATAAACTGCTGAATTTTGAATTTTTGGAAAATTGCTGATTTCACTGTTTAATTTATGATAGCCATGATACAAGTATTTCAAGTCGACTTTGTTTTTTAATTATTGCCTAAAGACCAGGTGCTGTTCCAGGCCTGGACTCTCCCAGCACTGAGGAACCTAGAGTGGGAAGGTCACTGTGCCCAGGAGTCTGAGACCAGCTGGCAACATGTTTTAAAAAAATTTTTTTTAGCTATTTGCTATTGGAGGCTGGGGAGATGGCTCACAATTATGATCACTGGATGTTATGGCAGAGGACCTGGGTTCAGTTCCCAGCACCCACATGGTGGCTAACAGCTGTCAATAACTGCAGTTCCAGAGGATCTGGCTCCCTCTTCTGGTCTTTGCAGGCATTACATGTACATGGTACACTTACAAACATGCAGGCAAGACACTCATACACATAAAATTTAAAAATTATTAAGTTGGAGGGCTGGAGAGATGGCTCAGCAGTTAAGAACACTGGTTGTTTTTGCAGAACACCTGGGTTCAAATCCCAGCACCCACATGGCAGCTGTCTGTAACTCTAGTTCCAGGGAATCCAGTGGCCTCTTTTGTCCTCCACAGGCATTGCATGACACGGGTGCGCTTACCTACATGCAGGCAGTACACTCATACACATAAAATAAAAGTAATAAATACAAATAATAAATATATATTTTTTTAATTATTAAGTCGGGCCGGGGGTGGTAGCGCACACCTTTAATCCCAGCACTTGGGAGGCAGAGGTAGGCGGATCTCTGTGATTTCAAGGCCAGCCTGGTCTACATAGTGAGTTCCAGGACAGCTGGGGCGGCAGGGAGACCCTGTCTCAAAAAGACCAAAAAAAAAAAATTATTAAGTCGGGACTGGAGAGATGGCTCAGCAGTTAAGAGCACTGGCTGATCTTACAGAGGACCTGGGTTTGATTCCCAGCACATGGTGGCTAACAACCATCCATAACTCCAGGTCCAGGGTTTCCGATACCCTCTTCTGACCTCTGTGGGCATTGCACAACATGTGTGCACTTACATACGTGCAAGCAATGCAGTCATACACATAAAATAATTTTTTTTTTTTTTCCTTTTAAAGCAGGGTCTCCCTGTAGCCCCAGCTGTCCTGGAACTCACTATGTAGACTAGGCAGGCCTTGAACTCGCAGAGATCCGCCTGCCTCTGCCTCCCAAGTAAATAAAATAATTTTTAAAAATAAAAATTATGAAGTCATTGACTAAGCATCTGCATAAGAAACAGTAAAGAATTAAAGATATTTTTAAAAGTTTGTGAGGATTTGGGCAAGGATGCAGAAAACCAATACTTAGGAGGTTTTCTGTGTTACCAGACACAACTGTCTTATTTTAGTAGCATTTTCTGTTTTGTTCAGCTGCAGCTCTAAGGGAGGTACAACTTTTTCAAATCTTCTAGTGTGCTGGGCATGGATTCTGGTATTTTAGAGTTTGTCAAATCTTTGTAGTTATGTACACCTCTCTGTACAAGCATGAGCTATGAATCCATGGTGCTAAAACCAGCTCTGCCACATTTGCACTTTGTGGCCTCCTGAATCCATTTTATCATCTGTAAACAAGAGGTGTCTGGGTTCAGGCACACATGCCCGTAATCCCAGAATTTGGGAGGCTAAGGCCAATTGTGAGTTCCAGGCTGGCCAAACAGAGTGAGTTGCTATCTAAAACAAAACAAGGAGGGCATGCCTGTAATTCAGGCAGGTGGATCTATGAGTTCAAGGCCATCCTGATCTACATAGCAAGTTCCCAGCCAGCCAGATCTGTATAGTGAAACCCTGTCTCAAAAAAACAAAAACAGCAACAAGAACTACCTCGTAGACATAATGCAAGGCTGGGGTAGGAGATAAAGTATTTGGAGTGGTTCCTAAGAGTTATTTAGAGTCTACCTTTTTGAAAGGTTAAATTTTAGTACACTTTCAGCCGGGCATGGTGGCGCACGCCTGTTAGTCCCAGCACTCGGGAGGCAGAGGCAGGCGGATCTCTGTGAGTTCAAGGCCAGCCTGGTCTACATAGTGAGTTCCAGGACAGCTGGGGCTACATAGAGACCCTGTCTCAAAAAGACCAAAAATAAATTAAATAAATAAATAAATAAATAGAGCCCTATATTCAACTCTGTTATAAAACAGGGATTTCTTACTTAGGACGTCTATGAATGTAGATATATCTATGAATGTTTGTGGGGCTAGAAGTATGGTTCAGTGGTGGAGTACTTGCCTAGCAGGGCGAGACCCTGGGTCCCATCCACAGCATGCATTACCTGGAACTTACTGTTTTAAGTGCTATTTACAGTGAAAGAGTGGACTTAGCCACTCTTTGATTTAATATATAGGCTATTATTTCGTCGATTTAATATGTAGGCTACAATTTTATTTTTTTATTTTTGGTTTTTGGAGGCAGGGTTAGCCCTGCTAGGAGCTGTCCTAGAACTCGCTATGTAACCAGGCTGGCCTTGAACTCAACAGAGATATGTTTGCCTCTGTCTCCCGAGTGCTGGCATTACAAGTATGCATTACCACTCCCAAGTAGGCTACAAATTTTTAAAGTATTATGTTTAATACAGGTATACCTTTTTAATTACTGCCCCCCCCCCAAGCATTTAGGGCTATTTTACTACCTAAAGGTCACGATGAGCATTAATCAGAAAGCAACACGATTTCCTATTGTGGGTAGTTTGAGCTTAAGGTATTTGTTTAAGGTAGAGGATATCTCAGAGTGACTTGGCCTGCTGTTTAATGAGCATGCTTCTACTTTGAGTGCCTTTATTTCCTAAATATCTTTTAAAAATTGTTGTTATCATCCATCGTACATGGAGTCTGGATTTTCTGGCAGTGCTTGCCCAGCCCAGGCCAAAAATCTGTGTCCTTTTTCCCTCCCTCCTGTTCACATCTATAATTGAGAAGAAGCCAACACTCACATTAATCTCATTTTATTCATTTTATTGAGCCGAGAATAAGATACCTTCTAGGGTCTCCAGGGTAGGGTCCAGATGACCTGCAGTTTCTCTCTTAGGCTATCTGTGAACTCAGTGAATGATGTCAAAGCCAAACTTTGTAATTGAGTTCTTAGTTTTCAGTAATACCCTGCAATGCTAAGAATCAAAGCCAGGGCCTACACATGTGAGGCATGCTAGGCATGGCTGTACCACTGAACTCTGCCCCCAACTCTGGTGTTGAATGTATAGACTGACCACAATCTGTATGTTTATTTCATAAATAAATGTGTGTGTACATTTGTTTAACTGATTAAGCAATCAGTAGAGTTTGAAAACCACAGCTCTACAAACATACATTGAACTTTGATGGATTTTTAAAGTAGGCATTCAACATCAAAACAGGTCTGATACTCTCTGCTGTATTGACTGTATCATATAATCTGTTCTGGTTCATTTATAGTAATTAGAGAAGTTATTTGAAAAGGGCTATTGGGCTCCACTCTACTCAGTGGTAGAATACTTGGTTAATGGGAATGAAGCCCTAGGCCCAACCCCCAGCACTGGAAAAAGAAAAGGACTGTTTATGGAACTGATTAGATAGTGAAAAGAGCACTGACTTTGGAGTCATTGAAACTACATTTGGTTCCTGGATCTGTTCCTTTCTGTGACTTTTGGCCAATTGCTTAGTCTTAAGTGGTAAGTGGCATGATGCCCCTCCCACACGGGGAAGGGTGAGGAGTGGTTAGGAACGGCAGTAAGTAGTCAGAACCTGATTGTCTGCTGGGTTTGATTTGTTGTTAAAAGCAAGAGTTTTTCAGTGTTGGTTGAAGTGATTTCAGTTACTTCCATACCATAATAATTTCCTAACATACCATAAATTTTTTAGATTGCTCAACAGGGGCAGCATGTTTGGAATTTGCAGAACAAACCAAATTTCCTGATTGCTGCACTGAGTACTGTTTTTATTATCTGTTTGTCTAGTTCTTCCAAGTAGATGCCTTGCAGTTGACTTAAATTTAGTATTCTATGACATGTATGCATGTATATAATATATATTACATATGTGCGCACATGTATGTATGAAAAACTCTGTTGAAGCAGTTCTAGTAACTGAATAACAGATCTGGCTGAAAAAATCATTCTTAAATTTCAAAATGGGTTTTTCTAGGAGCAGCCATGCTCCTCAAGCACTTTGAGTCTCTGTTGTTTGTGAAAAAAATCTTACACAAAATAATTATGTGCATCTTATTAAGGCCACTCATTAAGACTATCTTATTAAGACCGTGCATTAGTAAATAAAAGATTATATGTCTGATGCTGTAAAATGCTGTTCTTGCTTCTTGTTTAGTTCTGAATCAGGAAATTGAGGCCTTCAGCCTTCCTGACGATGCTTCCTTATTGGGGCTCTCTGAAGACCGAGTTGTCAGTGTGAGCTTCCGAGTTCTCTACCCGATTGTGATTACCAGTCTTGGAGTATTCTATGATGCTAGCGATGGAAGCTTCCAGAGGAACATCACTGTCAAGCTGTATCAGGCAGAGCAGGAGGTAGGTACTGCCTTGGACAGGACTTTTCTTGTTTGTCTTTTTTAGAAACTTTTCTTCGTGATACATAGAAGATTGAAAGACTAATTTTAAGTGGTTGAGTGACTTCCGCTTTTCCTCCCTCCTTGATTGAAATTATTGTAGTGCAATACATTGCAATGCTGGTTTGGAAAAAGATTACTATGGGTAAGTTAGACCAGGCATGGTAGTGCATGCCTTTAATCCCAGCACTCGGAGGGCAGAGGCAGGTGGAACTCTTTGAGATCAGACCGGCCTGGTCTACATAGTGAATTCAGGGCCACCTGGGGCTATAGGGAGATGCTGTTTCAAAACCAAACGGAAGGAAGGAAAAGAAAAGAGAAAAAAAGTTAGACTAGATTAGAAATTCCCAACCTAAATTCTAAAGCCTCAGAAATTTCAGAAGTCAGTAATGGATCCAGGTGTAGCGGCACATGACTGTTTGGGAAGCTAAAGCAGGAGGATGGTGAGTTTGAAGCCAGCCTGGGCAACATAGGAAGTCTGCAGCTCAAGAAAAAAAGTAGGGCTGGAAGATGGCACAGCAGTTTAGGAGTACTTACTGCTCTTCAGAGGACCTGGGTTAAGTTCCCAGCACCCACATGACAGCTAACAACCAGCTGTAACTCTAGTTCCAGAAGCCTGACTGACGTCTTCTCCTGACCTGCAAGGGCACCAAGCATGCATGTAATACACATACATACCCACAGAGAAAAAAACTCATACACATAATAAATAAAATAAATAAATAATCTTTTTTTTTTAAGTTAGTGATGGATGTGAAAAAATTGAAACTCTGAGGATAAGTGAGGATTATTGACTCTGAAACCTAAAAAGTTGTAAGGTAAGGTTAACAGCTGCTTTTGATATTTTTCATAATAAGGATATAGAGAAACTTAAATTTTAAAACAGTTGAGTTACCCTGTTCCAAAATTCAGATTATATCTAAAGGAATGTAGTAGCATGGAGTTGTACTGCGATCTGTTACTAGGGTTTATTTTTAATATTTTTTTATTTTATGTGTATGAGTATATTGCCTGCATGTGTAAGTGCACCCATGTTGTGCATTGTCCATGGAGGTCAGAAGAAGGCATTAGATCGCCTGAAACTGGAGCTACATGTGGCTACTGGGAATCGAACCTGGGTCCTATGCAAGAGCAGTCAGTGGTCTTAACTGTTGAGCCATCTCTCCACCCTCCGATTACTAGGTTTTAAACACTAGGATTTAAAGGTGTGTCGATAAAAATAAAAGGCTTTTATGTTTACCCATGTTATTATTTCTGGTGCTCTGTATTCCTCTCTGAATATCAAATTTTGATATCTACCTTTAACCCAAATAACAACCCTTACCTTGCTTAGTTTTTATCATGCTAGGAATTGAACACAGCTTCACAGAAACTCAGCAAGCACTTTGTTGCTGTCCCCAACCTCTACTTTTTTTCTCGTTTGTGTGTGTATTTACCTAATTTTGTAGCCCAAGCTACCCTCAACCTCCCAATACTGGGATTCCAGGTTTACACTACCATACATTTCTTTTTTGTGTGTTTGGTTTTTGATTCTTTGAAACACGGTCTCCCTGTAGCCCCAACTGACCTGGAACTCACTCTGTAGACCAGGCTGGCCTCTATCTCACAGAGATCTATCTACCTCTACCTCCCAAGTGTTAGAATTAAAGGTATGTGCCACCATGCCTGGCTTCTTAGAATTTCTTACAGTATAAGTTCACTGCCTAATAAATTCACTTAATTTTCATTTTTCTGAAAATATTGTACTGCTAGGGGACATCTTCTGGCTGTGAAATGCTGGGTTGAGTTTTTTTCCTTTTCAATACTTTAAAGATGTATCCTAGTGTTTTGGCCTCCAGTGTATGGGGAAAAGCCAGCCGTCCTTTCCCTAATTTTTCACAGGATACCAGTACTTAGACAGCCAGGCAAGGTGATACACACTTGTAGCCCCAGCACTAAGGAGGCTGAGCAGATAGACTGCAAGTGAGAAGCCTGCCTGGGTTATACAAGACCGTCTCAAGTACCCCAGCCCAAAATGGTATGATTTTAGTAATGTGGTGTGTCTGTCTGTTGCTGCCTTTAAGACTTTCTCTTTATAATTTTCAGCTGTTATTTTCCCAGAACACCATCCAGTGCCACTTAACTCTCTTCTCCTGAAATTAGAGTTATGTGTATGGTATATCTTTTGATGTAGTCTCACAGATCACAAATCTGTGTTCAGTTTTTTTCATTGGGTTCTTGTTGGGGTGTGTGTGTGTGTCTGTGTGTACACACTCCTGTGTGAAGCTCAGGGGACAACTTTGTGTAGTCAGTTTTCTCTTTATGTGGATTCTGGAGATCGAACGCAGGTCACCAGGCTTGTACAGCAAGTTCCTTCATTGTTTTTAATCTCAGTTTTTCTGATTTAGATAGTTTATTTTCATTTGTGTTCACTGACTCTTCTGTTGCTCAGTCTGCAATTAAGCCTAATGATTTTTTTGTTTCATGCTTTAGATATACCTTTTTTCTATTTTTTTTTATTTTATATTTTATGTGTATGAGTTTCTATTTCTCTAAAATTTCCTATGTGCTCATTAATTTTTTAATTTTGTTTTTACTTTATGTGTATGAGTGTTTTACCTGCATGTATATAAGTGTATCCCTGTTATTCAATGCCTGTGGAAGGTCAAAAGAGGGTGTCAGATCCCCTGAAACTTGAATTATGAATATTAGCTGCCATGTGGGTGCTGGGAACTGAACCTGGTCCTCTGTAAGAGCAGCCAGTGCTCTTAACCACTGAGCCATCTCTCCAGCCTGTGTTTATTAATTTTGAGCATGTTTTTCTTTAATTGATCCTTTACCATGGTTACAGTAGTTGCTTTAAAATCCTTGTCTGCTCACATAATGACCCAGGGATGCAAAGTTGGTTCAACATACACAAATCAGTAAATGTAATTCACCATATTAACCAGCTTGAAAATAGAAATCACATGGTCATTTCATTAGATGCAGAAAGGGCATTTGACAGTGTTCAACATGACTTCACAGTAAAAGTCCTGAAAAGAAAAAAAAAATGAGGGCTAAATGGAACCTACCTCAATATAATAAATACTATGGTATGACAGATCTAACAGTATAACATTAATAAAAACTATGTATGACAAATCTAACAGTATAACATTAAAGACTATGTATGACAAATCTAACAATATAACTTTAATAAAGACTGTGTATGACAAATCTAACAGTATAACAATAAAGACTATGTATGACAAATCTAACAGTATAACATTAATAAAGACTATGTATGACAAATCTAACAACAGTATAACATTAATAAAGGTATGACAAATCTATAGACAATATTATACAAAATGAGGAAAAGCAGAAACCATTCCCTCTAAAATCTGGCATGAAACAAGGATGCACACTTTTTCTTCTGCTATCCTATATAGTGCTTGAAGTTTTAGCTAGAGCAGTAAGACATGAGGAAGCTATAAAAGGGATAGCAATTGCAAAGGAAGAAGTTAAACTATCCCTATCTTTAGATGACAGGATTTGATACTTAATAGAACCCATGTGGGGGCTGAAGAAATGGCTCAGCAGTTAAGAGCATTGGCTTTTCTTTCAGAGGACCTGGATTTGATTCCTAGCACCCATGTGGCAGCTAACCATCCATAATTCCAGTTCCAAGGGTTTCAGTGCCCTCTCCTGACTTCCATAGGCTTTGCATGACATGGGTGCACTTACACACATGCAGGCACTAAAACATACACATAAAACAAAAATAATTTTTTTAAAGACCCCACTCCACTAAAACTCTTCTGGATCTGATAAAGTAATGAGATACAGAATGAGCATACAGAAAGAGTAGCTTTTATATAGACCAACAGTGGACTTGCTAAGAAAGAAATCAAGAAAAATATCCCATTCACAGTAGCTTAAAAAAGGAAAGAAAGAAAAAAAGCAAACCTAGGAATAAACTTAATCTTGAAAAATACTGCAGGGAAAACTTTCAGATGCTGAAAAAAGGAATTGAAGACTCTTGGGACTCGAGAGATGGCTCAGAGGTTAAGAGCACTGACTGCTCTTGCAGAGGACCATGCTTTGGTTACTAGCATCCACATGGAGGCTAACAGCCCTAACTCCAGTTCCAGGGGATCTGATGTTCTCTTCTGGCCTCTGTCAGCATTGCACACATGGATGCACTTATATGTAGGTAAAATACTCATACATATAAAATAAAATAAAAAAACACTAGATGATGGAAAGATTTTTCATATTCATGGATTGGCAGAATTAATATGAAAATGGCTATACTACCAAAAGTAATCTACAGATGCAATATTTATAAAAATTCCGAAGACATTCCTCACAGAACTAGGAAAAAAGAAGCCTAAAATTCCTATAGGAACATACAAGACCCAGAGCATCAAAGAGGTTCTAAGAAGAAAGAACATAGCTGAAGGTATCATTTTACCTGAACTCAAACTATACTGAAGAGCCGTAGTGATAAAGACAGTATGGTACTGGTACGAAAGCAAACATGTAGACACATAGAACATAATAGAAAATCAGAGATAAACCCATACAGCTCTGTATACCTAACTTTTTACAAAGGTGTCAAAAACATGCACTGGAAAAAAGGCAGCCTTTTCAACAAATGTACTGGCGTAGCTACAGAAGAATGAAATTAGATCTGTACCTTTCACTTTGCACAAAGGTAAATTCAAACTGGATCAGAAACCTTAATTTAAAAACCAGAAACTGCTAAAGGAAAATAGGGAAAGCACATTAAGGCACAGTGTTTTGAGAAAACACAAAAATTCTGAATAGAGCCCAGTAGTACAGGAAGCATTCCTAAGGATTGACAGATGGAGTTGATTACATGACATTAAAACATCAACACAGTATACAGAATGGGAGAAACCTTTGGCAGCTATACTTCAGACAAAAGGTTAATAGCTAGAATATATAAAGAACAAAGAAAAAATGGCTATTATA